GTTTTGCTTTTAAACATCAAACTGTCTTTTTTTTTTTCCTTTTTACCACTTTCATATGAATTTAAGACATTCTTCCCCCTTTCAGCTATTTTCTGTATTTATCACACATGTCCATGTATATATAAATAGCTGTCAAAACATTTTGTGGAAGAAAATACGGGCACCACGTTCACAAGGGTTAATCAATCCGAGGGAAGAGTGAACGAGTCTAACCCCAAAGCAGCAGTAGTGTGAGGGAGGCTAAGTCAGAGGCTGGGAGGAGCTGCCCCTGTTTCCACACCCAGACATGCACACTTCTGCCATGAAAAGCCAGCCTGGACTTCCAGGTAAAGATAAGGACTGAACACTGGCACTATTTTCTCTTTCTGAAGTCTGACTTAACCAGCAGCAGGAATGCCATGCTGAGAATGCGAGAGGCCAGGCTGCTAGGAGTCACCAAGCCTCAGGTATAGGAGCAGAGGGAGAACTGAGGGGACAGGTCCCTCCCCTTGGGAAAGATCAGTCCTCTTACTCAGCAGCACGGTTCTCAGGGACATCAGCTCGATGTTCCTGAACTCTTAGAACTCTTAGAACAGCACCACACATGTACATCAGCCATGGCTGCTCATGCTAAGCACTCAGGAGGCAGAGGCAGGTGGATCTATGTGAGTTCAAAGCCAGCCTGGTCTTCTGAGCAAGTTCCAGGACAGCCACAGCTATACAGAGAAATCCTGTCTCAAACAACAACAACAACAACAACAGCAGCAAAGAACAAAGAAAGAAAAAAAAAATTCATGTGCATGTCCCATGCTGGGCCTCGTGCATACAAGGCGTGTGCTGACTGACCCAGTCCCCGCTGCTAATTTTATTTTTTTTTCCCTGAAAAAATTGTTTTGTAACTTATATGTTTCTATCTGTGTGAGTGTATGCCATGTATGTGCAGGTACCCAAAAAGGCCAGCAGAGGGCACTGGGTCCTTGGAACCGGATAAGGTGGCTGTGAGCAGGCTGGTGTGGTGACTGGGAAGCAAACCTGTGTCCTCTCCCACAGCAGCGGGACGTCTGTAACCACGAGCCATCTCTACCGCCCCACTGTCTGGCGGTGTGAACATCACAGTGACAGTGCACTGTGGGGCAGGTGCAGTCTGGGGGTGGGGGTGGGTGAGGTTGGGGGTGGTCTTGTCACTCTGTCTCCTGCTAGTATGTGTAAACAGTATGCCTGCAGCAAACAGTTCACAACAGAGAAACCCTGAAGACCCGAGAGGGGCTATTTAGCAGCGATTAAGAAAGAATAGGCTGACACTTAAGAACCAAGGCAAAATTGAATCCAACATCTACACAGACAAGTACAAAAAAGCAAATTCTCAAGGTCATTTGTCACATGTGACTCTATTCTGAGTTAAATGCAAGTCAGACTACCTCACAGCCATTACCGCATGCATGTATTACTGCATGGAGACAGCAATGGCCTGAGTGGACCATGGTTCCACACTCCAGCGATCCCGAGAACAAAGAGGCACAGGGCCTGAGCATGCCATTCTTATTTATTCTTGTAATGCCTGCTTGCTTTACATTACATTAACAAGGAAATTCAAAAGTATCTCCCGTTCCACCCCACACCACTGACTAAGGCAGGCCAAGCTCTGTCTCATTAATATTAACATAAACATAACCTCTGGAAACAGATCAATTAGTTCATAAAAGCTGCATACGAAAATGACATTAATGGAAAAGGAGAGAGGACTTATATGAACTAAACCTTCGCAGGCTGCTGACTGCCTCCCTTCTGGGCCAGTGGTTTCTGCTTGCTGACAGGACAGCCAGGGCTTCTGAGAGACCAGCAAGTCCACTTCATAGTTAATGTCTCACCCCTTGTCTGCAAGCTCCAGTGAGCCACACCAAAGGGCAAGCCTGTAGGCATGGTGCTGCCCACACCGTGGTTCAGTTAAACAGGCTGCTCATGGCACCTCTCAATAGCCAAACAGGGCAGAGCAGCCAGGAGCAGAGGGGCGGGCATGAGATTATAAGTCTTCTTTCGAAGCTCCGAGAACCGGGAGAACTCCTGACCTCAGGACAGAAAATCCCCACCAAGCACACCAAGCACAGCCCCGAGACAGCCCCACGGGGAAGGAAGACTGAGTGAGCTGTGAGCAATCGTTCCATCTGAAGCGTCTCAGAGAATCACCCGCCCTCCTTCACAGAGCACCATCTTCAAATACAACAGTAGAGTACAGGCCTGTTTTGCCAGAGTTAATTACCATGATCTTTTTAAGAGAGGGGCTCACACTAGAGCCCCATTCAGCCTTGAACTCTGGAGTTCACAGTAACCCCTTGCACAGGGATTACAGGTGTGAACAGCTATGCATGGTTCATGTCATTTCCGACTCTAGACAAGGCACCAGAACTGTGTGCCTGCTCTAAATTAAGAATTCACCCACAGGGTGGGCACACTCATACAGCCAAGACACCAGAGCTTCCAAAACGGTGGGACTTAGCACGGGCCCACACACAGACCCAGTGTGAGCATGCATGGAAATCAGCGTCCTGGTTCCGAGTGTTAACAGCAACATTACAAAAGCAATTAAATGAGGAAAAAGATGTTTCAGCACAGTGCTGACACAGCTGGACATGTAAAAGTTACCTCAAAATGGGTAGCACCCTTAAGTACAGAACTCAAAGCTAGAACATTTCTAGAAGAAAGTACAGGGGAAAAAAAACCAACAAACTACCGCTGGGGCTAGCGGGGTGGATCAGTCAGTGATGTGTCTACTGTGTGAGCATGAGAGCAGAATCTGGGGCGTCCCCCTAGGAAACACTGAGTGTGGGATACAAGGGAGGCTGCAGCACCAGCTGAGGGTGGGACAGCACAGCCAGCCAGGGGGACCCCTATAGTCTAGTCAGCAGCGCCTTCATAGGGAGACCTTGTCTCAAAAATATAAGGTAGATAGGGTGTGGTGGCACAGGTCTTTAATCCCAGCACTAGGGAGGCAGAGGCAGGCGGATCTGTGCTCGAGGCCAGCCTGGTTGATGTAGAAGCTTCGGGACAGTCAGGGCTACACAGTGAGACACCTGACACCAACCTCCGTTTCTGCAACAAGACCCACACATGCACATACATGCAAGATCAGGCATACTCCCCCCCCCCCCGCCTCCCTGGCACCCAAGACTCATGACCTTATCCATAAAAGAGAGAGAGAGAGAGAAAATAAAAAAATAAAAAAACTGAACTTCTCCAAAATTAAGATCTCAAAATCCACTGTAATGGTGGTTATACACCAAGAGAAAAGCATATTTGAAGAAAAGCACTCAGGATAAGGAAGCTGTCAGCAGAGCATGATGGCACAGGCCTGTAAGCCTAGTGAGCACCTGGGAGGCTGAGGCAGGAGAATCACTGGGCTATACTAATAAGACCCTGTCTCAAAATCTGAGAAAACAAAAACAAAAATGTCCAAAAGAAATGAATAAATGAATACACAGAGTAGTTTCAGTGCAGCCAGGCATGGTGAAGCACATAGGTAAAGACAGCATTGAGAGGCTGAGGCAGGAGAACTGCCATGAGTTGGAGGCCAGTCTGAGCTATACCTTCTCTCAAAAAAGACAAATGAAGAACTTATGCCAAAAATACAGAGACCTCACAACTCGGAAACAGAAGAGATAACTATCCAGTTTTGAAATGAGCAGCAGGTGTATGCAGACACTCCACTGAGGACTGGGGACACACAAAAGCTCAGTCAGGAAAGGAGGGCATCCTCCTCTCCTAGGATGACCAAAGCTTAACAGACCTGATGACGCAGAGGCCTGGGGGTGACAGCACACTGCAGGGGATCCAGAATGGTGTGCAACCCTGCACAGCGGTCAAGTGGCTTCTTTGAGAAGAATGCTCTGCCCAGAACCCAGAGCTCCTGTCCCACAATGACGTGTCTATCCCAGTGAATGAGAACCTACATCTGCTTGAAAAATGGAGACAATAGTTTTACCTGCACCTGTCAAAAACTGAAAATGACTCACTGTGCCTGGGTGGGGAAAGGATTAACCGTGGCACACCTCTATAAAGGAACATAACCTAGCAATGAGAAGGAACAAATGACTGAGAACGCGTTACACAGATGGGTCTCAAATGCACTGTGCAAGTTGGAGGTGCACACTGAATGGCTCCATTCATGTAACGTTCTGGAAAAGGCAATCACTGGGACAGACATCAGAGGCCCTGTCTCCAAGGCAGAGAGCAAGCGGATGCAGAGGGACAGAGGAAAACCTTTATTGTGCTCAGACCTTATGGCTGGCAGTTACTTGCAGACCGTGCGCCAACACGGATGCATTTCAGTGCATCTAAATTACAAACTTCTAGAAAAGTTTCAAATGGAAACAAGCGACAACTATGAATTCGAACACAAAGTTCCTACACACCCGGGGGAGGCCTCTGAACGGGATGAGAGGCAGTGTGCTGGGGTATCTGGCCAAGGAGACACCAGGCATGCTTGGTGGAGGACCTCACAGCTCGAAGTGTGAGGGTCAGGGAGAGGCAGGTTCTCTCCAGACACTGCCCTTCAGTCAGCTGGGTGCCAGCACATCCTCCCCTCTGCGGGGCTGGAACTTATGTCCACATTGGATTTTGCTGAAGCAATACAAGTGGGCCACAGTGACAAAGCACTGTAGTTAAATGTGACAGCCCATCACGACCCTAACAAGGAGCATACTGTCCTGAGGTCAGGAGTCACAGAGTCCACCACCATCAGAATGGGCCTGAACAACCCAGCTTGCTTTTCTAGCACGACAGGATCCAACCAGCCTCCACAGTAGTGCTTGCTGTCCCTCCCACAGCTGTCACCTGGGTGCCCTAACCTGCCCTGGCTGCATACATGGGAGTGTTATCCCCATCCATCCAAGGGCGTGGAGCCCAGGTATGGGACAGGAGCGACTGTCAGGCACCAGACTTAAGGACCCTAGCTGCATGACCACATCTGCTGCACCTGCCCTCCCGCCATCCCGCTCTGTGCCATGAGTGAGACAGGGATACAGTACCTTTCGTCCTTCCGTCCGTGACGCCCAGCTTCTTGGTCTCTGCTGTGAGCAGCAGCTCATATGGGTGTTCCTCCTCCTCTTCTTCCTGGGGGAAACTGCTCTGAATCCTGGGTCTCACAGCCAGGCCCTAGGAGACAGAAACACCCAGAATCCATTGGGCACAGAGACTGGTGGTGCCAAACAAAGCTCCAATTCCCACTGCCTTGCAGGGCAGGCCAAAGCAGGGAAGGGAAGGAGAGTCGGGCACCCTGTGGACTCATGGGTACTTTTCTAAGTCCACCATGTGCTCTGGCTCATTCCCCAGAGCCTACCATGCCTGAAGCTTGGACTCCAGTGCAGCAGGGGTGGGGGACGACAGGACAGAGATGGGGCGTGGCGGGCGGGGGAGCCGCTTAAGACTCTACTCCTAACAAACCCACTCCTGAGTGGAGTTGTGGCTTATGTGGCATTACAGGAAAGGGGTGTTATCACATGAGCCTGGCACCCCCACCCTCTGCCCTCTGCCAACAGAAAAACCTGAAACAATTCCTGTATATGAAATCTCTGCAGTGTGACTAAACCATTCCTGATTTCTTTTTTCTTTTTGGCCCCGTTTTATCCTTCAGAAAATGATAAAAATCCAAGCCTCTCTCCTCTGCCTTCCCCTCTCCCTCTCCACAGAGTTTCTGTGTGAATAGTTGGCTGGTAATTATTACCTGAGCTGAACTGCCCTTTCTCCACGCTCCTTCTCGCTGTGCACATACCCTACCCAAAGGCTAGTATCCACCTCAAAAGAAAACAAAATACTCTTGCCACTTCATGGCCTGTCCTTGTCTTCCTCTGCTGCTGCAGCCCTGGCTTGCCTAGAGCCTGCTCATCTTAAAGAGGCAGGCCCTCCTGCCTCTGCCTCCCAAGGGCTAGGATTAAAGGCGTGCGCCACCACAGCTGGCTTGTAACTAACTTCTTCCCAGATTCCAGGAGCTCTGGGAACAGAACCCCTGAAGCTCGCGCTCTCCTGAATTATAAGGTGACTTCAGATGCCTCCAACAGTCTTGAGAGTCAGCAACTAGCAAGGTGACTTTTTGTGAGCGAACAGCAGCTCTGTCTACTGAGAAGGTCTTGATTCAAGCAGGTAAGCGCCACCCTTGCAGGAGAGGCAGCAGCTGCGGGTGGGGGTGGGGTGGGGAGTAGGGGTGAGGGGTAGATGCGGGGCGCTCCACTTAGGTGAGCATCAGGGGTCCTCAGCTAGTGCTGGAGACACAGGGGCTGTGGCCACTGCTGCGCTGTGCCCTGCTCCCGATGTGTTAACAGGCGATTTAGGAATGTCACATGCCAGCTGCTGCAGTCAAGACAGAGCACAAAACTCCCAGAGCAGCCTGGGGCTGAAGTGGGGGGTGCCGGGATTCCTATTCATACCTAACACATCAGCAGACCCTATAAGGGGCTCGATCACCTTTGCACACAGATACCACACACTGGAAAAGCACCAGGTTGGTGATTCTCCAGAGTCCTCCTCACAAGTCCTCCTCAAGGAGGAAAACTGAAGGAGAAGCCCCATGTTTGTTTGTTAGCAAGGCTGCCACTCTGCCAGACAGGTGCCTGCACTGCAGGCACCCCCACCATGCAAGCCACCTGGAAGCTAAAGGCCTTTACTCCAGGAGGGAGCCCTGGGCATCATTTATTAGGCTGTTTTCATAGGGACACAATTAAGGGAACAAAGAAGGACCATTAAGTAGTTCACACCTTGTCAACTTAGCACTGCAGGCTTCACTGACGGGAGTCTGTGCTCTGCAGGGTTTCATCCATTTGATCCCTCAGGCAGAGTACTCCCCACCCCCCGCCCTGCCCCATCTGCTTCCCAGTATGTCTGCCTCAGCAAACTTTCTCACCCAGGCCCAGGCATGCTTCCCTGAAAGCTAACGGACAGCCAGGATGCCTGGCCTACAATACAGGGCAGGACAGAAGACTTGGGGGGAGGAAGAGCGTGAGCAGAGGCCATCACCCACCACAGCTGGACACTAGTCACAGCCACCAGACGCCTGGCTCTGGCCATTTCATCTGAAAATTCAGAAAGGGCCAGGGACATGTCCAAGGTTACACAAAGTTCACAGCAGAGCTATCGTCATGAAATGCAGTTTCTCAAGATTCTAACCCGGATTGGCCTCATTTTCCTCAATCCAATTTGGCCCGCCTTCCCTTCTTCAACTGCCTAATGAGAGTCCCTGCTTGGCCCTGACCAAGCTAGGGGATTAAACCTTCACAGTCAACAACAAACTTTTCTTCCAGACATCCCTTGCTCCCACAGAAGGGGCCAAACACCAAAACTTGATGACATGGTACTGTTCAAACAATGGCGATAACGGACTCAGAAGCCTACGTCAAAAGAAACACACTGAAAAGGCAAAGACTGTTCAGGTGAGGCAGCCAGACGGCAGCAGGCAGGCTCCCACATGGCCGGTATGCTACTGCTGCACCAAGAGTCTCTTGGTTTGCAAGGCCTGGCTCCAGATTACTGACACATGTATATCACAAACGAACATACTAAGCTCAGGGGCAGTGAGAAAACAAGGAGTCAAAGCTGGTGATAAGGGCAAGAGTGCTTGCCCTCCAAGCAGTAGGACCTCATCTCCAGCACCCACAGAAAAAGGGTGGCAGGGCTGTGTACACGCCTGTTCCCTACACGGGCACATGGACCTACACACTCATGTGTACACCTCACACTCACACACAAATGCAAATCCTCTCTTTACAAAAGAAAATATGCTGGGGAAATGGCTCAGTGACAGTGCTTGCTTGGCATAAACAAGACTCTGGGTTCAATGCCCAGGGCTGGAGAGATGGCTCAGTAGTTAAGAGCACTGGCTGCTCTTCCAGAGGACCCAGGTTCAATTCCTGGCACCCACATGGGTGGCTTACAGCCATTTGGAACTACAATTCCAGGGGATCTGATGCCTACATCCTACCTCCACGGGCACCAGGCAGGCGTGTGGTGCATATAGATACATGTACATAAAAACAAACAAACAAACAAACCTTAGAAAAGAGGAGGAGAAGAGAACACAGCCTCCTTTGAACTCACAGATCTAACATCTAACAAATGCTATGTCAGTGATGGGGTGACCCCCAACCCTCTACCTCAGAGGCTGTCAAGGGCAAATACTTCTTATCTACACGCTCTTCCTCCTCTTCATCAGGTGGCGGCTTTGCTGGAGGCGGTGGACGTTCTCTCTGAAGAAGAAAAATAAATAGTCTACCATCTCTCCTTTTCAAGTATTTAACATTTTGGCTTACCCTTATTTTAGTCCTTGGAAATAAAAAGCATTATGTAAAGAATTCCCCCAGGAGCCTAAAGTTAAGATGCCGTCTCTGAGCACACAAAGGACCCCACACACAGACACAATCAGCTGTGAAGACCATAAACATCCCCTTCCTGGCTGCAAGGAGAACAGCACAGAAAAGCTCGAAAGGCCTCGCGGGCACATACTCGAGGCACATGACAGACACAAAGCCCTGAGAGCTCAACTTTCGGTCTACACCGAAGGGACCCAAGATGAAAGATCCAGCTCTGGCGCTCTTCTGAAGCCGTGACTCCGAGAATGGGAAAAGCCACCAAAGATGGAACGTCTGTCCTTGCTTGAACTCCATCGCTGTGCTTGGTCGACGTGCTCATCAGGGAAAGTCCCACAACAATCTCTTAGCACCTGTAGTTTCAGCTAGTCAGGGGACTGAGCATGAGGATCATTCAAGCCCTAGAATTTGAGGCTACTCTCAACTCAGAACAAAACATCTCTTGGGTTACTTCTGCTGTTGCTGTTTTGGCTCTCACTATGTAGCCCTGGCTGTCCTGGAACTTGCTATGTAGACCAGACTGGCCTCACAGAGCTCCTCCCACCTCTGCCTCCAGGTGCTGGCATTAACCAGTACGTCTCTGGTTTTTAATTGCCCTTTCAGTAATAAATATGTGGCTACAGGGAACCCTGTGTTCACTCCTGCTCATTTAGACAGGGGCTTGGGCACCAGACTCCCTAGGACAGGGGCTGGCAAGCTTGTTCTCCAAGGACCTAAAGCACCTATGCTAGGCTTCACAGTCAGTCCTACCACAGACAACAGGCAAATGGTACATGCAACTTCATTCAAAAACAAGGCTCCTGTCAGTGGGCTGTGGTTTTCCAACCCTATCTCATAGTAAGGAACTCACTGAAGGGGGGCATTGAGCAGGTAAATGAAGGATGGACAACTTCAGGAACACAGATGACCTTGGTGTGGCAAAGTCAAAGGCCGGGGAGCCACTGCCTCTTATTCAGGGGAGGGCTGGCACAGGGCTGGCCCTAGGTTCAGCCCCAGGTTTGCAGATCAGCTCTATACTGCTAAAGTAGGTGGGGTTTGGAATGCTGATGCTGAAGGACAGATTTCCAGAGAAATTTGCATAGATGCTGTTTTGGATTCTGGCACCTGGGACCTCCCTGTTCAAACATGCTAATCTCCTCTACACCAGCCTCCATCACTCAGTCCTCCTGGCTCCACACCAGGCTCCATCACTCAGTCCTCCCATGCTCCACACCAGCCTCCATCACTCAGTCCTCCTGTGAGGCCAGAAAACTAGAACAAGAATGGCTACAACATACTTATGCATACACGACAAAGCGTGCACACCGAGACGCTCTGGCTTTTGCTTAGCACAACCAGCAGAGAGGCTGGCCATCAAAGGTTGCTCAGTTCTCTGCAGGACTGTGTGGCTTCTACCAAAGGCACTAGCACCCCCTACTGGGTGACACCTGTAAGCCCCACTTAAAGCAAAGCCTTCTCACACAGGTTAGATATCAATAGCAAATGTTCTTCACCACTCATAGTGAGGAGGGACTTGCTACACCTCCTCTGCTAGGCCGCCACACTAGAGGCTCACTGACCGCCACACTCAAACCACTGCAATTGCATTGGGGCAGAGGGCAGGGCAAGGAGACCACCAACAAAGAACGTGCCAGGCCACAGTTGGAAAGGTCAAGGAGGACACTGCCCCTGCCAGAACTGGGCCAGAAGGGAAAGTCAACAGAAAAAAAAAAAAAAAAAAAAAAAAAAAAAAAAACAAACCACATATGCCCCAAATCTGTCTCATGGTTAGCCAGCCATGCCAGACAACTGGCGGGGTGTGACAACTCGGATAACAAGGTGTGGAGATGGAAAGAAAGTGGGGATGGGGCTGCAGACATCGCAAGGCAGATTGCCTCTGGAGGAGAAGGGGGCGGGCATCAGGAGCCTGGAGGCCCATGAACAAAACAGTGCCAAGACAGGAGGGACAGAGCAAGGAGAAACAGCACTGCTTTCACGAGATGGGACTAGTGAGAGTCAGCCAACAGACATCATGTCTGATAAGTGCGCACTAGTGAGAGTCAGCCAACAGACATCATGTCTGATTAGTGCGCACACAGTCTGATTAAGTCTTGCTAGGCCCTCCTCATGCGACAGGACCACCCCATCCATATGGCTGGGAAGGCCAACAGGACTGGGAACAGCCGGCATCTCCTGCCACTGGGGAGTTCTCCTGAGAGAACAAACCACACACAGCAAGATCCCAAGGGCTTGAACAGCACTGAGGCTAAACCAGAAGACACAGATGGGTGCTAAGGCAGCGGGGACAGAGAGATGCAAACTGGCTACCCTGACCTTGTACCCCAGTGCCATCTGTAGGTTCACCACAGTGAACAGGAGAGACAAGGCAGAGCCCCCCAAAGAACAGCAGGTGGGCTAGGCCTCTGAAACAAAGAGTGGGCGCCAGACTCCCTCTTGCCAGGACCCCATCAGCTTAACACATCCCCAGCAGGCTCAGGCCTGGGCCACATACAGGCCTCACTCCAGCAGCTCTTCCTCCCATGGCCTCGGCCTCCTTGTTCACAGAATCTCGGTCAGATGATCGCCCACTGGCCGTGCTGTCCAGGGAGTGGCAGGACACAGCATTGTACAGTGCCTCATAGGGACCCTCCTCCTCAGCATGTGTGTCAAAATCAATGACCAGTTCAGTTACTGCTTTCTCCGCATTCCCTGGAGAAGAGGACAGAGGGCAAGATCATTAGTAAAGGGGGCAGAGCCTGGGCTCCTTGGCAATATGAACCGTAATGAACACTAACCCACAGGGAACACGATCGCTTTGATAAGGACAAGCAAGGGCTGATTTTCTCTGATTCCATAAAGAGGAGTGCAGCACAGTGGTAGAACTCCAGCTTAGCATGCAAGCAGCCCTGGGCCCAATTCCCAACAAAAAAGCGAGCACTTTAAATATGTAATTCCCACATCCGTTGTAAGGACTCCAGCATCTCAACACCATGTGAATGGAACTTAACCTGAACATGTAGCAATGTGTAACTGAAAATTAAAGGAATGCTTCAGATTACCGCTGATTTTTGTTGTTGTTTTGTTTTTGTTTTTCTGGGGGCAGGGTTTCTCTGTGTAGCCCTGGCGGTCCTAGAACTTGCTTTGAAGACCAGACTGTCCTCAAACTCACAGAGATTTACCTGCCTCTGAACTCACTCTGTAGACCAGGCTGTCCTGGAACTCACAGAGATCCATCCGCCTGACTCTGCTTCCCAAACATGGGGATTAAAGGTGTGTGCCACGCTCAGCCTTCATCTTGTGCTTTTGAGGCAGGGTTTCTCTTTGAATTTGGAGCTGGCTTTCATCAAGTGATTTGATGAAAGCCCCAAACACTCAGAGGAAAGCGAAGCCTCTGAGACAAGGCACTCATGACTTAATGGCTGTCCCCTCAGCACTGTTAGAAATGGCATCCCTGAGTGGCTTGTAATATCACAGATGTCAGTCAGTGTGAGCTCCTTGATAGCCAAGAGCTCAGTGAATGACTGACCCCACTGCTAACAGACTGCAAAAATCAAGGAAAAGTTTGGAGTGGGGATGTGAGTGGGGCTGAGGCTGGGGATTCTGAGGAGCCAGCACAGGCAAGTGGGGAGCCTTGGGCCCTCCCACTTACGCACTGCTCCAGCCCCTCCCCTCTCTGGGTTGCTTCACAGTTTATTGCCATCTACATTTGGGGGACGTTGTCAATTAGGGTTTGTCTTTGTCTTTTCTCACACCACAGGCTGTAGAGTAAACCAGAAAGGAATCTGTTGTGGAATATTAGTTTAAGATGTGTTACATTTGTTTACACTGTGGAACATTTGTTTAATGACACAAAGATGTGTTGCATTCTTTTATGTTGCATTTGTTTAACTCTGTGAAGCTGTGTTACTTTGCCTGCCTAATACACCTCATTAGTTTAATAAAGAGCTGAACAGCCAATAGCTAGACAGGAGAGGGATAGGTGGGGCTGCCAGGCAGAGAGAATAAATAGGAAGAGAACTCTAGGCTTGAGAGAAGTGGAAAGATTGAGAAAAGGAGAAGGAGAGAACACCAGGGGCCAGCCACCTGTGGGATAAAGAGGAAAGAAAGATATACAGAATAAAGAAAGGGAGGTGGAGAGATGATGGCTCAGAGGTACCGGCTGCTCTTCCAGAGGTCCTAAGTTCAATTCCCAGCAACCATATACATGGTGGCTCACAACTATCTATAATGAGATCTGGTGCCCTCTTCTGGTGTGCAGGCAGAACATTGCATACGCAATTAATAAATAGAATAAAGAAGGTAAAAAGCACAGAGGCAAAATATAGTTAAAGAGAAACGGGATAATGTGAGTTAGAAAAGCTGGCTAGAAACAAGCCAGTCTAAGGCTGGGCATTCAAAAGTAAGAATATGTCTCTGCATATTTATTTGGGACCTGTGTGGCACGTCCCCAAAGAGTAAAAACAAACAACAACAAAAACCACAACAATTACAGGGTTCTGCTGCTGCTGCTGAGAACTTCCTACCTACACCTCCTCCACACCACGATTTAGTGCCATAACTGCCGTGTGTAGGACTAGGCAGCAGACCCTCACTAGACCAACCGTTCCCGACACACTGCCCTGTGTTCTGGGATGATCCTGCCAATTACACAGCCCCACAGAAGTGGAGGCCAAGACAAAAAGAGCTCCTGGAGCTAGAGAGATGGCTCAGAGGTTAAGAGCGCTCACTGTTCCTGAAGAGGTCCTAGCTCAGTTCCCAGCACCCACATGGCAGCTCACAACCGTCTATAGAACCCAACACCCTCTTCTGACTGTTACGGGTTCCTGAATGCATGCAGTGCACATACACACACCTGGCCACACACACACCTGGCCACACACACACACACACACACACACACACACACACACACTTGTTTTGCCTTTTTTTTTTTTTAGACAAGGTCTTACTGTATAGCCCTGGCTAGCCTAGAACTTACTATGTGGACCGGGCTGAACTCACAGAAAACTGCCTGTTTTTTAAGTGCTAGGGTTAAGGCACATACTTGGCTTAATTTAAAAAAAAAAAAAAAAGGCTTTTTTTTAATGAAAAGGGAAGATTAGGGCAGATAACATCCATAGTAAAATCTACATAGTGCCTGCTAAAATTTCATGGGCACAACTGAACTGCGTAAGTCATAACACCACCCTGCAATTATTATTTGAACTAAGAATTTTCCATTTTGCCCAAGCGTGACTGACTCTCCTCAGGCTGTACCTCTTTCCTGGCTGTGAAGAAACACCTCACCCTGAGACTTTGGTGCTGTGGCGTCTGTGCCTGAGAGGAGAGGTAGCTGGGCTGTGGAGGTCTTATCTACTTCTTTCACACGTCTTTTCCCGATCATGTGATCTGGATGGGAAGATGGTTAGAGATGAGAGGCTGCCCGGAGCATGGTGCACTGTAGGATCGCCGTCCCCAGCCCCCAGACAGTGAGTGAGGTGGCCCACACCTTCTATTAGGGCGGCTATCTGCTGGCTCTTCTGAGAAGGCAGGTCCCGCACCGTGTCGAGGGCAGTCAGTCCACGGTTGTCCTTTATGTTCACGTCGATCCCTGGAAAGGACAGCAGGGGACCAGGAAGGTGAGCATCTTTAGGCAAGTCCAAGGACACCCAGAGCTCGCTCTCAGGCTGCACAGCCAACATTCTTCACCCACAGTCATCAACAGTCCAGCCTTCCGGGAGCAAGTCCCAGTGCTCTACACCGCACACGTATACGTATGCTGGCACACGTATGCTGGCACGTGGGTCAGCCCTCCAACCTCACCTGCAGCTAGCAGAATTTGCACCACATCGGTCTTGCCAAACAAAGCAGCCTCATGCAAAGCGCTGCCCATCTCCGTCTGGAAGGCAAACAAGAGCGCAGCAGCACGTCATGAGAACAGTTGGGTGTGTCACATGACAAGTGGGACGCCAATAAGGAGGGGAGGCAACTGAGCCACACAGAGCCCTCCGGGGGCTTCTCTTCCCAACATTCCTTGTATGGGTTCTAAAACCACCACGGCTGACATAGCAAGACCACCCGTGTGCTATTGCAGGCCACGTGCATGCGCCCCCACTGCTTGTAGAGATGCTGACCAACAAAACCCGAACAAGCTCCTTGTTCCCCGGGGAAGAGGAATAAAAGCACCTCATGGCCCACGTGGAGAGTCAGCACCAAGCTTAAGGCAGTACTGACTGAGAAGCCTGCCGCCACAGAGGAGGTTGAGGGGGTGGGAGGGGCAAGTGTGGGAAGATAATGAACTTTCTGGCTCTGAGATGGCCCTCAAGCACTTCTTTTCAGGGTTCCAAGACTGTACCCCACACCCTGAAAAGAAACAAGCAAAACACTAGACTCACTCCACAGAGCTCATTTTCCTCTAAGATGTCAGAGCGGGACAAAGTGACAAACAGAAGCACGTGAGTGTGATATGAAACGCGCTGAGCACACACAGCCCAGCAGCACTTATTTGTGTCTTTTCCACAGACCGAGAGCCTGTGCCGGGAGAGCTGTCTGCCTCGCTACCTGGTAGTTGCTATCCATGCCGGCGTCCAGCAGGACCTGCACCACAGCCTTGTGGCCGTTCCGTGCGGCCAAGTGTAAGGGGGTGTGCTTCCTAGTGCTGCAGCTCAGGAGGTTGGGGTGTGCACTCAGCAGCATCTTCACCACCTCCAGCCGCCCGTAGAGCGCTGCCAAGTCCAGAGGTGTTTCGAATTTGTTGTTGCGCATGGTGGGGTCTGTGAGCTCCTCCAACAGCGCCTTCACTACCTCCGTGTGGCCGTACTGCGCTGCACAATGCAGGGCGGTCTCGTTGTCGTTGTTCTAAGGGTTGACAAGCACAGCATGTCAGACAGGAGTGGGGTGGGGGACTAACATCTGCCTGTGTAATCACCCACAAAACCACTGAAATTTAAATGAGAAAAATAGCAGCAATACTCGGGAACTTTACAAGAGTCAGAATCCAGGCACCGCCCCAAACAATCAAGCCTGATTGCTCCCACTGGCCACATCTGCCTCCATTCCCTGCAGGAAGGGAACATTCCGGGAACATTTGCAGGCTCTGTGTGCCTTCAAGGGCACATCTCCATACTGAAGGAGAGGGAACCAGGGAGTTTGGCAGGCATTTGGAAGATGCCCAGGCATGCATGGATACTGTATCACTGCCATTGTTTCACTTTAAACTTCAACTGGCTTTACAAGCATTTCTTTGTCCAACCCCGTGGTTCCATTTATCCACCATACACAGCCTTCCAGGAAGCTTTTTTAAAGGAGGTTGTCATCTGTAGCTCCTGGCATGCAAATCAGCCAGCCAGAAGGGAGAGTAACAGAGCAGAGCACCGCAAACCACTCTAAAGGTAGAAGACATTTCTGAGGAGGAAGGCACAGGCTCACCCTATTCCGGCCCTCATGCCTGCTGCAGAAGGACACATGGAGCCATGCATGCAGCTTCTACTGCATAAGAGGGAGCACGCTGGGGACCGTCTCATGTAAGAAAGGGACAGGCCCTGGGATGTTGGGGTATGAGAGGTGCAAAATATTCCAATGCAAAACTGTCGGAGTCTGAAGGCCTCTGATGCCAATTTTGCCTCAAGGATAGAGTCTGGGGTAAACCTGGGGAACTTTGTGCCTTTTCAACTGTCAAGAGTAAAATATGGGTTTACTCAGTAACTCAGAGGTTAAGAGCACTGGCTGCTCTTCCAATGGTCCTGAGTTCAATTCCCAGCAACCACATGGTGACTCACAACCATCCTTTATGAGATCTGGTGCCCTCTTCTGGTGTGCAGATATACATGGAAGCAGAATGTTTAATACATAATAAATAAAATCTTTAAAAAAAAGTAAAATATGAGTCATGTCAATCGCATTCTTCATTGAGGCTGATGACATGTAATTGAGGCAGACAGCTTTTCACAACCTCTCTTTTCACAGAAGTGCTCATGAGAGAGAGCAAGGCTCTCACACGTCTCAGTCCTCAGTTTACCCAGGCAGCTTCTGCTACTTTGGGGAAGACGAGGCTGGAGAGGGCTGGCCCCGAATCAATACTGTGCACCTGTCAGTCGCCACAAGTTAAAGATGAACTATGTCTACAGTTGTATAAATTGTTAGTGACAACAGAAGGGGCAGATGAACAGTCACCCAAACATGCATCAATACCATCTGCTTTTGACTTCATCATTTTGTTTTTGGCTTTTTCCCCCAGCTACACAAAAATGGATGAGTTGCTGAGACCAAGGCCCCAAGCGGCCAGAGTGAGGGAACAAAGGCAGAAAAGGCGGTAGCAGGGGCGCATGCAGAGAGAAAAACAAATGAACAAGACACAGACGACTCGACAGAGCACAGCACAGCTCGGCTCGGCTCAGACCAGATCAGCTCAGCAGCCACAGGGCACAACTCTCAGAGGCCCAACCGGAGGCAAATGTGTGCGGCTCCCCGTGGCCGGCTGTTGGGCATGCCAGCCTCCTACCAACCTAGGACCAAACTCAGGCCTGTCACCTCACTTCCTTGTAATAAAGCACAGCTCCTTCAACAGAGCTCATGGCAGTTTTCTGGAAAGTGCAACCCACAGAAGTTTAAGAAAGGTCTCGGAGTTTTCTACCTCAACTTTCGCATGCCAACCAGGGCCACAAAGCCACCTTCTCTCAATAGCACTTCATCCAGTAAAATTTGCTGACTCTGAAGAAAACCATTACAGCCATGGTGCCTCCCGACATCCAGAATTAAGTCCTAGACTTTATAACATGTGACTTAGAGACGGAAAAATTATAAAGCCCTAAAGACAAAACTGTCCAGCGAGGGAAGGAGAGAGGGAGAGGCAGGAGGGAGGGAGACAGAGGTACAAGGATATGCTGGAAATATGGCTCAGTGGCAGAACACATGCTTAGCACAGCTTGGGGGGGGGGGCGTGCGGCTGGGTTTAGTCCCTAATGTACCCTACCACGACGACGATGAAGCAGAAAAATACAGCAAGTGCTTTTTAGGTGTTTACTGGTTTTCTTTGACCTATTGGCTTCTGCTAGAATGGAGACGCTGTCCCAAAATTGACCTGCTAAAGGCACAATTTTGGTTAGCCCTGGAAGCACATTGCCTGCCTGGTGTTAAACATCATCTAACCACACCTCACTGGCACAGTGTAGAGGCATCTGAGAGAAAATCTATTTGCCAGACGTGGGCTGGTGTTTAGCTTTCGTGAGCTTGTCTGTGGTGAGCACATCACCATGGCTGAGCACTGGCCACTGCTACAGGCTCCTGGTTTCTTTTCAGAGCTGAGCACTGTTAGGCTAAGGGGTCCTCTGATTGATTTATGGACCCTAGAGAGGGGCAGGGATCCCGAGGAGAACACAGATTCAGATCATACTTCCCTTGCACCCTTCTGAACAACATGTAATCATCTTACTCTAAACTGGGGGAAGGGCATGTGGCCCAAGCTAGCCTTAAAAACTCGATGCTAAAGCCTCCACTAAGCTTCCATCCCCACTCACCGTGAAATTAAGTTTTCCCTGTTACAGTCAACAGGTCTAAGAAAACAGGGTCTACTCTCTGCAGATTCCACTCAACTTCAGATCCTATATGTGACTCACAAATATACATATTCATAAGTGAGCAGAGAAAATCATATTTCCACAGGGAGTATCCTGTCACAGTTGGGCTCACGTCTTCCCTGTGGACAGAGGCCTGTGGTAAGGAGACAGAGCTGTAGCTGTCTACAATTTTGGTGCAGGTTCTAGAGACATGACCAGGAAGAAAGCCAAAAACCGTGTGTACAAAGTTAAGAAAATGGGAAAAAGAGTGACCCACAATGGCAAAGAAGAGTTCAGCTCCCTCCTGCAGCGCAGACCTTGGACCAAAGGGGACAGTAGAAAGACACTCCAGGCCGGCTGAGAAACCACAACCAGCACCCCAGGGACATGAGCCAGGCAGCAGGTGATTCTGTTTGTTATTAGGAAAACAGGTAGGAAGTCGGCTCAGACCAGTGAATCTCAAAAGACTCATCTGGGACCTACACAGAGCTTAAAAATAACCAGTCACTGGCCCAACCACAGACTTGGCCACGAAAGCTGTTAAGAGTGTAAGGGCACATAAAACTACTATTTAAAATTCTTGCTGGTATGATAGGACACACCTATAATCCCAGCACTCAGAAGACTGAGGTAGGAATATAAAGGATCGTGAGTTCAAGACCAGCCTGAACTTTACAGCCAGAACTTGTCTTAAAACAAGGGCTAGGATTATTTTACTCAGTAGCAGAATGGCTGCCTAGCATATTCAAGACCCTTCTGATTGCACCTTTAGTCCCCATCCCCCTAAGGAATGAAACCACCTGCAAGACCACTGTTATTAAGGAGACAGTCTGTGACCTGATGACACACTAAGGGTATCCCTTCTGTGGGACAAGTAACCTAACCTAACCATCAGAGTAACAGCCGCATCATGGCTGAAGAGTGTAAGAGTGACAGGAGGGGAGGGCGGCGGAGAGGAGGGATGGCAAGGGGAAGGGAAGGCGATGGCATCATGAGGACAAGGGCCAAACCATGAACATGGGCAGCGTATTAGGAAACTTGGAATTTTCCGAATTTGGTGACTATATCAAGGTCTCCTTACTGTTTTCAGACAAGGTCCCACCATGCTCCTGGCCAGCCATTACTCACAGAGCCCTCAGACTTTCAGTAACTCTTCTGCCTCAGCCCGAGTGCCAGGACACAGGTGTGCCCTGCCATGTTCAGCCTTATAAGTGGATGTCTTTGGGGCTGGAGAGATGGCTCAGAGGTTAAGAGCACTGGCTGCTCTTCCAGAGGTCCTGAGTTCAATTCCCAGCAACCACATGGTGGCTCATAACCATCCGTTTTGAGATCTGGTGCCCTCTTCTGGTGTGCAGATATACATGGAAGCAGGATGTTGTATACATAATAAATAAATAAATAAATAAAATCCTTAAAAAAATAAGTGGATGTCTTTGTGCTCAGACCTCAGGTGAAAACTAAGTTTATGGAGCCAAGGCATAAATAGTTTACTCTCAAGCACATCGCCAGCCATGGCCACAGCTGCACAGGGAGAGAGTAAAAGCAAAGGGCGGGATGTTCGGTGCTCTGCACAAGAAGCATGCACCGCAGTCCAGAACCTGGGCTGCAGGAACCCTAAAGCCCTTCAGATGGAAAGCTCTCTGGAAGCCTCTGGTGCTCCTGATGTAGTCAGGTCAAATTCAAGGTCCTTCCACTCTGGGGTGTGAAAGGTCTGGGGTGTGAAGAAAAAACTGGTCTACCCTAAAAAGAGTTTGCCTATGCTGCTTGCTTAGACAAGACAGCCAGACCAAGGGGGAGCTGTCTTACAAGGGTACCTGGTCCCCACGGTTCTACTGTAGCTGTGGCTCATTTTCAGATCCCCTGGCTTGTGATGACTGGTGCAAAGGAAGGGTGCTGAAAGGAAGCAGCAGAGCCTGGGATGTCCACATCTGCTTCTGAGTCTGTCCTTGAGCCAGACAGCACTGAGCAACCACATGTGCTCCAGTAAATCAATGCCTAGCCATGGGCCAGGCTAGCCAAACCCCAAATTTAGTTGGGACAAAGCCCAAGGGTGTGGGACCAAGTCTGCACCCTCTGCACACACGGCCCAGCTCAGCCCCCGGTGCTGTTTGCACACTCAAGGGGAGAAAGCAGAGATCGGGCAGCCCTTCCAGACACAAGCGTTCACTGACTTGAAAACCTGTTTTCTTTTCTGTCCACAAAATCAAACACTTGGGATAGCACTTCGAAGAACCAAGGGCTCAGTGTTTAATCCACACTTGAGAAGCCGACTCAAGCACAAGTGGGACCAGTCACCTCAGGTTCCTTCCTCACTACACAAAGCCTGGGCACACTGAGCAATGCTTGGCTAATCGCCCGCCAGCACTGGAAACAGATCACATGGTGCCTTTTCAGAATAGCACAGGTAGTGCCTTAATCCCAGCACTTGGGAGGCAGAGGCAGGCAGAGCTCTGTGAGTTCGATGCCAGCCTGGCCTACAGCTAGCACTACTACATGGTGAAGCCCCCGTCTCCACAAGCAAACAAAACAACACCTCCAACCCCACAGACTGCAGAGGTATCGCAGAACATCTCACAGATTGTTAGTTGCGACTCCAAAACAGCCCAGCAATGAAGGTAGTGACACCCCACTTTATAAAAGAGGAAACCATGGCTCAGAGAAAACACAGCATCCCTGTAAAAAGCGGTAAGCACTCCAGCACTGGGGAGGTGAGTCCTGGGGATTCCCTGCCAGTCAGTCAGCTGGATCAGCAAGCTCCAGGCTCAGGGAGAGAGCCTGGCTCAAAAATTAAGGTAGAGAGTGACTGGGGAAAACACTCAACATTGACCTCTGGCACACACACAAACGGGGGGCTGGGGGAGTTAGAGGGGTTAGGGTGTTGGGAGCAGATACAAGAAAAGACAGAAACAGAGATGGAGAGAGACAGAGACAGGGGAAAAAAGCATGTGCATGCAGCCCCAAATTCATCTGAGTAAAACGCAGGGATACAGATGAAGCATGTGAGGAGCAAGGAACCGCACCTACCACCTACTAAGCGCTGTCTCGTTATGGAGAGGGCTCCTGGAGAGACAGCTGGTCATGGAGGTCTAGCAAACCACTGCTGTCCCCAGTCATCAGGCCAGCACCCTGCAGCTCCTGTCTCAGAGCCCTTCTGGGCCAACAGTGACAAAGCAGAGAGAGAAGTGACACTAGAGACTGGGACAGAGCCATGAAGCACCATGCAGAAAGGCGCAACCCAGGAAGAGAGGGTGGCAGCCAGCAACAGCTTCTGAAAGAATGAAGTGCAGTCACCCATGTCCCCCACACCACCACTGTGGCCACGGAAACCTGAAAGAAAGTCAGATTCTGCTTCAAAAGAAAAGCGAGAGCAGATGAAAAGGAAAAAGCTTTAATTTCAAGAAGTACATGTCAATCACTTTCTGTGCTCATTGCAAGTGAGCAGATTTGTTTGATGGGCCTCTTTGCTGAGTTCCCATGGCCTCATGAGTCGCAAGCATACGGCAGGCTTACAGTGAGGTCCTAGTTCCTACTCCTGCTGCTTCAGATATTCCCAACCTTTCCTGAACTGGATAGTTTTAAAAATAAGGCCTCGGACCCTGTGCTGCGGTTTCCCTAGACAAGCCAAAAGCAGATGGGCTGAGGCAGGCGGCTGGAGGGTGATGAAGAGGAGCTCGGGCAGGCAGCCGGAGGACCACAGCAGAGGCGCAGCATACAGAAACGCAGGACAATGTGGGGTCCTGGCCATGAGGTACACACCTTGGCATTGATATAAGGGTCAAAGGGGCCGTACTTTTTGAGTTCTTTGATCTCAAGAGCATTCTATAAGAAGGAGAGGAAAAGACAGTGTGACGATAAAATGGATGAAATATATCAAAGCAATATGTAGCCCTGGGGGCCCAAGGATAAACAATCTGGATCTGAACTTGGGGTGCCTGAGGGAGTTAAAGAGAGGGCAGCTCCAGGGACCTCACTCTTACCTACGTATCCACTGGCGCCAAATTAACGGCTTTAAAATCATTGTTGTATTTGCAATGGCCTGGGTCCATTCGCTTCTTCCAGCTACTTTGCATACCCTGCCCAGCCCCTGCCTGCAATACTCAAGCACTGGGCAGGCATCCACCTATCCTTGCTACTCCAGCAGGACGCAGCTGTGAGCAAGACAAGCTAGCACGCTCAAGTGGCTCAAAATCCCAAGCAGCTGTGTTTCAAGGCAAAGTGGGCGAAGACAGGATTAGAAATGACTGCTGAAAATTGCTTGAGTGAGAAGGACTTCAATGGGTGGGCAGTTTTTCAACATTGAAGAATATTAGTTACAAGCAAGCTTCTCAGTCATTTCTTTCGGAGAGAAAGAAACTGCTGTTTCAATCAGGAGAGCCACACTTGGGTTCTAAAGAGGCACACGTGAGACCACCGTCATCCTCATGGCACACACAGGCATCCTCGCTGATGGTCCAACATCTGCTGCTTACCTATCCGGGAGCCCCTCGGGTGAGTGAATGGCAAGCTGACAGGCTACTCCCTACATCCAGTCTCCAAATGGAGGCACCTGGGACTCTGATGGCTTCCCTCCTCAGACAGAGCTGCCCTTCTCAGAATCGAGCCTCGCTCTGGCAGCTCAGTGGGAGCCTGTGTGGGTCTTGTGACAAGTAGACTCGCCAGATGGCACTCTAAGTTTTGAGGAAGACCCCAACATTCCACAGCACAACAACCTCCTCAGGCGAGTGAACAAGCACCAACACAAGGAAGCCAGCTCTGCGATCACTGAGAGGAGCAGTGTTCTGTGCACCGCAGGAGCAGGGCCCACAAACACCCCCTCCCCAGAGGACCTGCATCCTGGGACCCAAACTACAGGGCTGGGGGTCACAAGAGCCTTCGTAGCAAAGTCTCTTCTCTCCAAAGAACAAAGAAGCTGTCTTAAGAGGCCTTGTAAGGTTTTCTCTTGGTTCTCTTCTCTTTTATTTTTCTTTTCAAATTAGGGTCTCATGTTGTAGTCTAGGCTTACCTGGAACTTCTGAACTTTCTGCCTCAGCCTTTTGAGTGTGGGGATGCAGGCTGTACACCAACAACTGGAGCTAGCTTAGGTAATTTTTTCTCTTTCCTCTTTCCCCCTGCCTTGCTTCCTTCCTTTCTTTCTTCCCTCCTTCCCTCCCCTCCTCTAGGCAAGGTCTCATGTAGCCCAGGCTGGCCTCTAGCCAGGGATGATCGTGAAACTCTTGAATCTTTGGTCTGCACTTCCCAAGTGCTGAGATTACAGGCATGTGTCAGCAAATCCAGCTAGGTGGTTCTCCTTAAATGCTGCCTCTGTGTTCTAATAACTGTGTTTTCTTCAGTGTATGCTCACTCTCAGGGCCTCGGAGGACATCGTGGAAGTGATCTTCATTTTGCTGGGTCACCTCTGACCTGCACCCACATGGTTTTGAGTTGTGAGCTTATTTTTTTTCAGCACCAGCACAAATACTCTCACTTCTGATGTATGAAATAACAAGATAGCTCACAGGGCACTGACAAACACCAGGGATATTGTGCTGCTTGTAGACAGCATAAGCACAAATCACAATTATGTCACCCTCAAGTTTGAAATTAACTCTACATCATTTTGAAAGATCTACATCCAATTTTATGCTGCGAGCCTGTGCACGTGTGTGTGTGTGTGTGTGTGTGTGTGTGTGTGTGTCTGTGTGCGCGCGCACTCTAGCTCAGATCTGCATGCATCCCCTGCATATAAACTGCACCCTCCAGTCCCCTTGTGGTGGCATGCGCCATTGACCCCAGCGGACCTCTAGGTCCAAGGCCAGCCTGGTCTCCAGAGAGAATTCCAGACAGCCAGGGCTACACAGAGAAACCCTGTCTGGAAAAACAAAAGCAAACAATTCCAGAACAGGTTCTCCCCACTACTCCTGATGACGGGCTCAGGCCTAGGGAATGGAGGAACTATGTCCTGAGCTACACCCGGGACTGAGTGAGGCACAGTCTGGCCACAGCTGAGGGAGAGGACAGTCTCTCTCCCAACCTGTTCGTTGACTCTGGTGTGCGAGGGCCCTTGGTGGATGAGCAGGCGTACTATCTGGGCGTCTCCCTTCCACGCTGCCAAGTGCAGTGGGTAGCAGCCTTTCGAGTCAGCAACATTGGTCAGCGCGTCGTTCCTCAGAAGAACCTCAACCACATCCCTAGAAAGCAAAAACCAACTATGAGCTTATAGAACCAGAGGTCCTTCCAGGGGTGCACTGCAGAGGCCTCTGACGTCACCTCTCCATGGCTAGCCACCTCCTCTGAGCTCACTGCCAGATCTCCTTCTAAAGCCCCCCAGTCACTGGCGTGGCTGCTAGGCTGACTCCCTGTGCACACTGAATGACTCACTTTCCCGGGGGCCTTCCTTGATAATCCATCTATTTCCCAGTACTCTGAAAATGCTGGACTCTCTGTCTAAACTGTGCATTACTCCCTAGTATGCAATATTTAAATAGCGCTCAGCATTTACATAAAAGCGGTTAAACAAGGCAAGCAATGCTCCTCACTAGCTATTCCAATGCCTTGGGGAGCTGAGAGAGGACAGAGCAATATCAATGTCACAGACATACAACGAATGCACAGAGCATCATCTCATAGCTTCAACAAGACTGGCTTTCTTCTTGATGACACAAGGCCAAAGAAAACCTGGCTAGCAAACTGCCCCCTTTGAGTGGCAGTCACTCAAAGGAGTCACACTAATTTGGACTTTCCCAACTATTGAGAAGGGTCTCAATGTATAAGTTTTCTTCCTTTGTGAGTATGCTGTGTCTGTGTGCCTTGGAGCGCGAGCGCATATGGAAGTCAAGGGACAACTTTCGGGAGTCATTTCCCTACATCTACCATGTGGGTCCCAGGGATCAAAGTTCAGTCACTGGGCATGCAGCAAGTGCTGTACCCTCTGGACCATCTCGCCAGCCCTGGATTTTAGCTTTAAAGTCATTTCAGAAAGAAACGGTGTCCACGTTCAACTTGAGAAGAGTTCAGTGCTGAAGCAAATCGTCAAATGGTCACACATTGGACAAGTGACAGAATCTGCAGTGTGTGGGCCTGTACCTTGCTAGTATAAAATGAGGGCTGAGGGTGTGTGTTAACGGAGGTCAGCACCAAAGAGAAGAAAGATCTCGGGAAGATCTGGGAAGATCTCGGTGAGCCCCTGGTTCCTGACGCCAGGACCTTGTTTCCAGCTCTCATTGCCATCTTCTCCGTCCCCCTCGTCTCTGATCTTCCACTTCCGGGCAAACCTACCCCAGACCCCATGACTGCACCTGTGCTGTGCCAAGCCTTTGGCGTTGGTCCACTGATGCCACTCAGCAGAGAACTCTCAGCTCCTGAGTTCATCTTCTCCAGAAAACTTTCCACACATATTTCCTACTCAAGTTCTAACACTTCCTTAGACTTAGGAGGGTTAAGTGGGCCACACACATACTTTCCCGCTCTATTAGGAGGCTGATCTTAAGAGGGAAGAGTGACAGCTATCCTGACAGAAAGCCCCTCCTCCCATCTACTGTGTTCATCAGGGGGCAGATACTTGTGGTCCAAGCCAGATCTTCATGATCTGGCTGCCCCAAGTCTGGTCTTCACAGTTATCACTGTCGTGTGATGCTGGAACAATCCAGACAGGAAGGGATCATTAGGGATCATTAGGAGAAAAGGTGGCATTCACTTCTGTCTAAAGAGCTTCCTGGGGGTGGGTCATTCACTGAAGAGGAACTCAGTGTCTGCAGGGTTTGTGTGGGCTCTGCTTGGGCTCTGCGAGGTGGGCAGGGAGGGTCCTGGCACTCACCTATGGCCATTCAAAGCAGCGTGGTGGGCAGGGAGGGCCCTGGCACTCACCTGTGGCCATTCAAAGCAGCGTGGTGGAGTGGGGTGTAGCCGCTGCTGTCCACACAGTTCACGTTTGGCCCTCTCCACATGCTGGTGAGGAAAAAGAGGGAGAGTTCAAAGGCTGAAGAGACAGCTGCCTAATGGTGTGGTAGACAACCAAGCCAGGAGAAGCTCCCACGGACTGCAGACAGTGGTGCACGGCACCTGGAGTGGTCCACTGAGCAAGGAGCTAATGAGAAGGGCACAGTGGCAACCAGGGGCCAGCTCTGCACCACATGCTCACCCGAGCTGCGCCCCGAGTGCTCCCAACTCACAGAGATGTCACCCAAACAGCACAAAAGCAAAACGCCCAGCTAGACATGGGTGCTGAGCATCACCCTGTTCTGCTGAGTGATGCCAGGAGCTACCTCGGTACAGATCACAGCCCAAGGCAGAACCTGACAGTGTCAAAAATGCATCAGGATACACGAATGGAGGCATAAACCCGACTGAGTCCCCTTCCTTCAAAAAGACAGTTGGCTGAGGGGAATAGTAGATTCTGAATTCACAGATTTAACTATTGTGGGTTGAAATAGGCATTAAAAATGCACCTCTACTGACCATACACAGCGCTCTTTTCTTTCTTGTTAAGATTTATCAATCATGTATACAGTGTTCTGTCTGCATGTATACCTGCAGGCCAGAAGAGGGCACCAGATCTCATAACAGATGGTTGTGAGCCACCATATGGTTGCTGGGAATTGAACTCAGGACCTCTGGAAGAGCAGCCAGTGCTCTTAACTGCTGAGCCATCTCTCCAGCCCCACAGCCCTCTTTCTTGTAGTTATAACCCAAACAATACAGCCTAAAACCTGTTTGCATAAGGCTGGATGTGGGTGGCCCATGCCTTTGATCCCAGTACTCCAGAGGCAAGTGATCTCTGAGTTTGAGGCCAACCTGTTCTATAGAGTGAGCTCCAGGGCAGCCAGAGCTACACAGTGATACCCTGTCTCAGAAAGAAAGAGAGAAAGAAAGAAAGAAAGGAAGGAAGGAAGGAAGGAACAAGTACGTATGTGGACACATCAGTGCACACGCAGCGTTTTACACAGGGACCCCGGAGTCAGCCTCCTGCGCATACTAGCGATAGCCCACTACATTACCCGTGGGTGTCTGGGCACCCACTGACAAAGTCTACAGAGAAACACCGCAGAGGGAAACAATGTCACCTCCTTCAACTCTCGAAGCCCTGACCCCGACTCGTCTCCCACCTCCCTGCGCAGGCCGGAGCCTTAAAGGTCAGGCCCTCATTGTTTCCGACTCCGACAGCACTGGTGGTTGGAAGCACCCCCTGTCTAACATTTAATTTCTTTATGATTTGGGGGATCAAACCCAAGGTCTCACTCAAGTTGCTAAGCAACCATTCTGTTACTGAGCCAACCACATTTCACCCTCCCCCTTTTAAAGTGTTATCAGGGATAGTTGTTTAATAAAAATACATTCTTGGCATCTATAAAAATAACAGGCTTTCATGTCCAATGACCTAAGCGCACCATTCCTACAGCTTCTATATTAAGCTACTCTGATTCTTGGAGTGACCTTATCTGCTGCCACCGTGGGAGCCTGGCTGGTACACACTGTGCGGTGCATCTGCTCTGGAACACAATACTTGAATTTTCACGTGTTTGTGAGGCCAGCCCAAAGGCTCTGCCCTTTCATACCACTCTGAGTGGATGGCGTCAGTTTGGGTTAGAGACCAGCTTGGCTGCTGTCCACGCATAAAAAAAGTCACTATGCTGATTGTTTTAGATTTGCCTATGTGCATGGGTGTTTTATCTGCATGCATGCGTATGCTTCACCTGTGTGCCTGGGACCGGGAGAGGTCAGGAGGGACTGTTGGGCTCCCAGGAGACGCCACGCATGTGCTGGGAACTGAACACAGCACCTGTGCAGCAGGTGGTCTCTCCAGTCCTATCTGATTCTTTATTTGGGAACCAGGATGCAGCAGTAAAACCATCTTGACACAGACACGGCCTTCCAGCCTGGATGCTAGAAGCAGGATCATTACAGGAACAGCTTGGAAACAAGCTCTGTTACAACTACAGCCTCCGCAGAGCCATCCATCACCCCAGCCACCCCACGCTGAATAAAAAGACCATAGCAAGTGTCCAAAGTGATCAAAATTATAGATACAGTGGGTTTTGCTCAGAAAGAGCCTATATCAAAGAACTGGTCAGGACAGCTCATTTCAGCCTAAAGTTTAAGAGATTTTTAAACTCATGGGAGGTTGCGGGGCATGTGTGCCACAGCACACTGTGTTAGTCGGAGCACAACTTCTGGACATTGTTTCTCTCCTTCCTCCCGGTGGCCAAATTCAACCGCTCGGCTTCACAGTTACACAGAGAAACCCTGTAAGGACAGATCTCACCAACTAACTGTCAAAACTGAGGTATTGTTTTTTCCTTTGCTTTCTTTTTGTTGTGTGTGTGTGTGTGTTGGGGGGGGGGGGGTGGAGGCAGGTTCTCATTATGCAGTCCAGGCTGGCCTCAAACTCACAATCGGCCTGCCTCAACCTCCCAAACACTGGGGTCACACACTCGGTTCTCTGAGAAATTCACAGAGGAGAGAGGCAGAGGCCAACCTTCAGGGTTTTCCTTGGGCACTGTCTACCTTTTTCTCTTGAGACAAGGCCTCTCACTAGGATCTGAAGTTCACCCATTAAACTGGATGGGGCGGCCGGCAATCCTGTCAATCCTGCCCACTGGGATTGCAAGCGTGTGCCACCACACCCGATTCAGTGCTAGGGATTGAGTACAGGTCCTCGGGGTTGCACGGCCAGGCACTTTACTGACCTGAACTATCTCCTCAGCCCGTAGTATGCTGATGCAGACAAAAAGAATATTATCTTATGTATGACTTTCCACCTGTCTGCTCAATAGAAAAGAATGGAACCACCAAGGTTCGTGGAAACAAGCACAGCACTGGGACAAGTTTAAGTCAGTAAGTTCCGTTAGGAAGACAATTTGGCAGCATTTATCAAAACCAAAAATAGCTTTCACTTGGAGCCAGCAACTTCACTTCCAGGCAACCATCCAACAGAAACATTGCACATGTGCACCAAGCACAGCTCACATAGTGTCACTTCCCTGAAGAGCACGGCACTGAAGCCCAAGTACACCAACAGACACGCAGTTAGGATGCTGGCTACCCACAAAATGAATACGACACAGCCATTGGCAATGAAATGGAGAGCTGGGCTTGTGTATCCTGACCTGAGTGCAGCATGCTGAAAGCCTGGGAAGGGACCCCCTGAAGTACAAGCACCCCGTTTTACAGATAAACAGGACACAAATGCTCTGAAAATGGGTGAGAGTGGAAGAGTGCTCACCACCAACTGTTCTTTGTGGTGAACTTGGGGGCACTGCAAAATGGTGACCAGACACTTCCATGTTGACACAGTAGTGTTCTGTGTCATTCAGACATGGACAGCCATGTGCTCTCACAGCCAGGGCTTTTATGCAGAAGAACCCATACATGGAAAAAAAAAAAAAAAGCACCAAGGTGTTCCTAACAAGCAGCTGAGAGTGTGGCAGGCCTGCCTCTCTAGGAAGCCCCAGATACTGATTCAGAACCCTAAGGAAGGAAGTGTTCTCTAAGAGCCCACTGAGCAGCACAGAAACAAGCAGCAGAGAGAGCGCCTAAGAAATGAGAGAAGCACCTTTCAGTCATGGACCTGAGAAGAAGCTGGCATCTGAAACACACAGACTCAACTGACTGCAGGAAAACAAACCAATTTAAACATGGGCAAAGAACACAAAAACATGTCTTCATTATTGTGTAACCCAGAAGGCCTTGAACTTCTTGGTCATTCTACTTTTACCTTCCAAAAGTTGGGATAACAGCCTATTCCCAACTCTGTAAAGATATTTTATACAAGTCATACAAATGGTCAACAGGTAATGAAAAAAAAAAGTTCAATGTCATTATTTATAAAGAAAATGTAAACCCAAACCTATGTGACAGGTAAGAGCTGTTAAGGATGTAAAGAACACCCTTGACACTGCTCTTGGAACTGTAATTCAGAGCCGTATGGACTAAAGAAATAATGCGAGGATTGCCCCAGGGCCCAGCGACCCCACCACCCACAGCAATGAACTGAGCATGGGGATGAGACACGGGCACGCCCATGCTTGGGGCAACGCTACAACAGCCAAGACAGAGAATCAACAGGAGGGTCCATGATGAGCACGGAGAGAAAGTGGAATGCTATTCGGCCCTGAAAAGGGAGGAAATCCCATCAGGTGCAACAGAATAAATGAACCTGGAGGACACGATACTGAATGAGATGGGCCAGCTACAAACTCCATACAGACTCAGACGCAGAATCCCACGTGGAATTAAGCAGCTTCAAGTCCTTCCACGACGTGCATTTCAAAGCCCTGCAGCACACGGACTTCCGCTCGCACTGTACTTGTCAGTTTACAGACCGATTAAAAGGAAATGAAGAGTGTGGGGTCTGCGTGAGCTGACATTGGGGCTATATTTTCACTATAGTGAGCCTGAAGTATATCCCAACGCTCTACACCATCACCAAGTCTGGACCCCCTCTGACCTTTCAAATGAGAAGCCAACATCTCACCTTTCCCTGCCGGTTTTAATACTGAACTTGCCTAGTTGTATTTGATGATAAAAGGAGGATGGAAAGCTAGAAGAGATGGCGCTCACACAGGGATTCTACTATAGAGCAGCTCGCTGGAGTCCAAGAGCAAGTCACAAGCCACATCCCACATCTGTGAGAGACCGGAGACACTGGTCACGCAGCTCTTGGCACCCCTCCAGAAAAGGACATGGGGGTCTTACTAGAATGCTTGAAGGAGCTGGGAAGGCAGCATCTTGCAGTCACACTAGCTTAGCAACCCGCCAGACAACAGCCTTCTACTAAATAAATGAGGAGCAAAGCTGCCCTTCACCTTAGCAAGAGTCCTCCAGCACCGCCCTCCTCCACAGATGCAAGCGCAATTATATCTGGACATCCTACTCCGGCATTAAACCCCTCAAAACTAGACGAGATGATGAAGCCAAGGCACGCCCCCAACCCTCTCAGCTCTCTCTTCTCTCTGACCAGCAGCATCTCCTCAAAAGGCCCACCTAGAGATTTTGGGGTCCAGGGAACAGACCCAGTGAACGCAAGTACTGAAGGAGACTTGTGGTGTCCCTGTTAGGAGTTTAGCTCTGGACAGGATGGCAGTGACATCCTCCCCACCCAATGTTCTTCCTTTTTGGCAGCTCAAGAAAAGAGCTATTTACAAATCTTGGTCTTCCTCCCTGTCCACAGCTATCCTCAAGCACTGAGTACTGGACGGCTGCTCACCCACAAACAGCAACAGAACAGAATGGAGGTGGTGGCGGGGAGCTAACAGCAGTCCCCAAGACTCCTAAACACAGCCTCACGGTTAGGTTCTGCAGAGTGGCAATGTCTGCGTTGTTCGGCCTGCAGGGCAAATCCTAAGACAGCTAACTCTTTGCAGCTGTGGTGAGTCATAACAATCCTTGGGCTAGCCTTAGACACGGGTTCAGGGTCTAGGCTCTGACCTCAACACTTGCCTTCACATGGCACGCACACCACCTACACCACTTATTCAAAATAAGCCACACCACTATCAGGCCTCCCAAGGTTTTCATTGTTCAAAATTTCTAGAAGCTTGAGCCAGATTTACAACTTTAGGGTCCAGGGCCTATGGTGTGTTAAAGGACATTTCACTGCTCCCAGGTGTTGTTGGAGCAACCTTGTCCGATGCCTTGGAAGCACCTACATTCAGAGATGGCCTCTAAAAACCTTGCAGACAGCAAAGGAGAACATGAAAGTGTGACGATCTTGAGCTCCGAACCTCCATCCCTCCTCCTCACAGCACAGTCACACCTGCAGGCACTGAACTGCGTTTGCAGGACAGGAAGAATAGACAAATGACACAACACACCCCATTCGGTGAGTCAGGTCTAGCCAACCGGCCCCTGGTCAAGGGGTTCCTCGGGCATGTGTCCCACAGCATGTGAAGTGTGACCCACACAGAAGGCATGCTAGGGCCTGGAGAGGCCCTGAATGAAAGCCTCCATTCCGTGTGGACATGTGCACACATGCATAAGCGTGTATACACACAAGTTCATGTACTTGGATGTGCACAGGGAGACCAGAAGCTCACAGCGGGTGTTGTCCTCTCTTGCTCCCCACCTTGCTGTTTTGAAACAGTGTCTCTCCCTGAGGGCAGCTGGGAATCGGAACTCACTTCTCAAGTTACCCACTGAGCCACCTACCTAGAGAAGCCTTCGTATCAAGGGAGAGGATCCTGACCCATGGCCCACTTGGCCTTCTCCAAACCCAAACCGGAAGCTGCAAGATTCTTTCCTGGAGACACAATGACTCCACGGGGAGGTCGGTAGAAGCTGATACCGGGAATCTGTCACCCCACATCATGACATGGACTATCCCTTGACAAGCTCTTCTTCAAATCGGCTTCTTAGCCTCACACAAGGAGATGGCAGCCAGGGATCCCAGGCACCGAGGAAACCTTGAGTATGGGAAGACAGATAAGGAGCCAGTAACCCTCAAAAACATTACACCCAACAGGCACAGGTCAGGAGAAAAACAGGAAACAACCAGAGAAAGGTTCTTGGAAACTAGAAATGACTGCAGAAGTTTAAAATATAAAGCTGAATAAATCAGAAAGAAAAACCAAGGCAGAAATAGGAAAGACAAGAGGATCAGAAGTCTCAGAGTTCTGAGAGAGAGGGGGTGGGAACAAAAATCAAAGTAGTAAGAAACTGGTCAGGAATGGTGTCACATACTTTAATCACAGCACTCAGGAGGCAAGGGAGGCAGATCTCTGTATTTGAGGCGAGCCTGATCTATATAGCAAGTTCCAAGCCAGCCAAGGCTGCATAACGAGACCCCATTTCTAAACAACAAAAAGGGGGGGGAAGGAAGAGGGTTAGGCTCAGTGGTAGAGTGCCTTCCAGCATGCAGGACGCTCTGGATTCAATCCCCAGTGAGACAGACAGACAGACAGACAGACAGACAGACACACACACACACACACACACACACACACACACACACAGAGAGAGAGAGAGAGAGAGAGAGAGAGAGAGAGAGAATTATTTTTGGATTTTTTTTCTCTCTCTCTCTCTCCTCTCTCTCTCTCTTTGGTTTTTGGAGACAGGCTTTCTCTGTATTGTTTTGGAGGCTGTCCTGGAACTTGCTCTGTAGACCAGGGTGGCCTCGAACTAACAGAAATCCATCTGCCTCTGCCTCTCGAGTGCTGGGATTAAAGGCATGCGCCACCAACACTCGGTGAGTTTTTGAATTCGTAACACACAGCACACTACCATGATTCTAGAAAGAAAACGGCAGCTCACACATGCAATTTCTTCTCATTATTTCTGAAGCCCTGAGTCCAAGAACAATGCTCCAAACTTGTGAGGTAAAGTCATCCTCATCTTAGACCTCTCCAGCAGACACACAATTGTCAATGCTCAAATAGAGCGAGACATTCACCCAAGATCTCACCTTCTCGGGAGAGAGCTAGAGGTCATGCTGTTCTAGCAGACACAGGTACAATGAGAAAAGGGGAGAGGCATCTGGAAACCAGGACCAGGGGCTCAGATTAACTAGGGGGACCATGGGGGCAGAGACGTGGACTGTATAAACAGAATGTCTACAGGAGACACGGACAGCAGCAAAATCACCTGCCCGGGGTGTGGGGGAAACCTTTGGGATTTAACACATCCCAAAGGTTGTGGTTTTGGAAGTAAACTCGGAAAACCAAGATCAAGAGGTCATTAATAAATTATACAAGAAAAAAATAGGATTACTGTATTCTAATTGGCTCAGCAGATGGACCACTGTGACAGCCACGGCAGCACAATGGAACAAAGACCACCAGCACAGCACCTTCAGGACACAGTGACAGGGAGGGAGCTACACCCTGTCCTCCACAGCCAAGACTACTGAACGACAGCCAAGCTTTAAGAATAAGGAAGCAGGCTGGAGCGACAGCTCTGTAAGCATGAGGACCAAGTGCAGGCGCCCAGTAGCCATGTGAAAGCCAGGTATGGAGGCCAGCACCTCTAATCTCAGGTGGGAGACTCACCTGTCAGTCTGGCTAAATCAGTGAGCTCCAGGTTCAGTAAGACCCTGCCTCAAAAGGAAACAGAGGGAAGAACGCATACGCACAGAAGGGAGAGAGAGAGGAGGGACCAGAAGTTCAGGACTGGGAGGCAGGCACAGCTCCAGATGAAAACAGAGGACTCTGAGGTCGCCTGATCCATCAGCTGGAGGAGCCCCAGGCAACTCTGAAATGTAAAGGCCTGGCTACCTGGGAGGTTTGTGTCAGTCAATGTGTTTTGCTTCAGACACGTAATGGCTAGGTCCAATACTGAGGGCTTTTCTCTCCGGAGGGACACACGACGAGAATGGCAGTGCTCCGTGCCACCTGTGCACACCCATGACACACACATGGCCTGGAGGAGGCGGGCCAAAAGACTGCCACACAGATGACTTCCATTCTGTTGTGTTGCACTTTATTTCCAGTTGAGGTGGGGGAGACACACTTCACCTGCTGAACCAGGCAGACTTTTGGGGAGAAATGACAGCCGGAAACTCCTGGAGCCTCTTCTCAGGCAGGTGAAGCATTGTGGTGCCCCGTGCCCTGTTTGCCGATGGTGACGGGCAGGGCGGCCGGAGAAGCCTGAGGACCACACCCTCAGGCTGAGTGCCAAGAAGCCCCTACCTCGTTTAGACAGTCCATGAGGGTTCAAAAATAAACATTTCTGTAAGCCACGCCTCCCCCGGGGTTACACCGTTCTTTGGGACATTTCTCTCTATTTGTCTAGCCTTCTCTCAGCAATACTTCACGACCCTCAAACATTCAGTTTCTGAACCACAGCTGCACACCGGGCAAGCATCAGTGCCACTCAGAGGCGAACAGACTCCAGAGCTCAGCTGTCAAGTGACAGTGCCACCCTGCCTGCCTTGCACAGAGTGCTCGGCCGGCCGTGAGGAGGCAGAACAGAGGGAAGGTCACTGCTATTCTGGAGGTTTTATTTAAAAGGATACCATCCCCCACACGCAGAGGAAGCACAAAGCAGGCACCAGTGTGAGGTATGCTGATGAGGGAACATGGCGGTGGCAGTGGTGGACTGCGATCTCACTAGGAAGGAGAGGCTTGCGAGAGTGAAATGCCTTCTCTCCTTGCTTCTCCCTGCCTCGCCTGTCAGCCCCTCCACCCCTGTCCAGGGTTGAGCACAAGTGACTCCTCCGGGCACCTCCGCTACCTCCGCTGGCTAACCAGGCTGCCCCATAAAGAGCAGGGCTCCTGTCCTTGGCCATCTTCAAGACAATCTTACTTCAGAGACGCTCATTAGTATTTGAGTGCCCCTTTCACCAGACCACAAACAATTCAGGGCAGATTCAAGTAAATTTTATCTTCCACTGTATTCTCATTGCCAGTGAAGTGTTATACCCAGTACCTCAGTTATAAGGGATGAGGGCTGGAGAGGTAGCTCAGTGGTTAAGGGCACTGTTGCTCTTCAGAGAACCTGGGTTCAATTCCCAGCACATCTTGCTCTTCTTGTTTCTCCCCAGGGTCATAGGAAAGCTGAGCAGAGTGCTGAGGGTGAGAGCCACGGGGTTCCAGGCACAGACTGGGTCCCAGAGGGAAATGAAGAGGTGTCTAACTGAAGATCCATTAACGTTTTCAGAAATCCACCTATCTGACAGACTTCATTATGTAAAAAGTACCAACACTCTACTGAAATCTACTGTATCAACAGATCCATGTAATCTCAAGGTAGTAAGGTAATAATCTTTTTTGGAGGAAATTGAAATGACAACAATTTTCAATTTAGAAACGACTCATGAAAACAGGACTAGATGTCAAAAGTTATTATCGAACTCAAGGTCCTTCTGACACCCAGGTATTTCCTGAAATGTCCCAAATGGCCACAGACTAAAGTAGGATTGTAACTGTGACAAATAAGCGGGATATCAGGGCTCTAGAGTCGATGGTCACACCCACAGCCAAACTGGTGGCACCATGGATCACCAGCTCAGCTGCAGAGTCACTGGCCACCTGCCAGGTGATTCCTATCTGAGATCCCCATGCAAAATAGCAGGAAAGCCCTTGGAGTTGTTATGTGGAATAATAAATGTGGAAATAAAACTGCAGGCTGCAAATGGAAGTGCTTACATTTTACAGGACTTTCAGTTGACAACTCTGTGTCAACACCATGTCCACAGTCAAGAAGGAGAAGAGTGTGTGTTGACGCAACAGGTCAGCTGCACGAAGGGGGAGGCTCCCAGTCTCAGTCTAGAGAGTGACCTCACCTCACCTCACGCCAACACAGCCACTGTTAGCTCTGACTAGTTCTGAGCATGAGACATGCATTACTTGTGCAGTAAAAAACGCACTGTGGCCTCTTCCCTGACTGGAGTGTAGTCAGGCTCAGTAGAGCCCCACAGGCCTGCTCAGCAGGTCGAGGAAGAAACCTACTAATTAAGATTAAAAGTCCCCAAGCCCAATACCCGGTCACGTTTCTGGTCTCCCACGGGGACAGCTAAGTCTGTACTGTACGCTCAGAATCTTGCTCATCAGTTCTATCCCCTAACCTGGAGGCCTCTTGACGGGCTGTAACTCTCCATTGTGTCTGCCTTTTGTGGAGTGTAGCCCCCAATCTACCTATCCCTGGCTCCCTACCCACCTCCCACCCTCTATAATAGAAGCCAGATCTGTTCCAGAGAGAGGGCTTCCAGTTATGAGAGTCATGGCAGAGTACACACAAAAAGGGGTTCAGGGGGACATTTATTTCTGGGCCTGTTTAAAGGGCCACCGTGGTCCTGATTTTCAGCCCCTGGAGGGTGAGCTCCAATAGTTCTTCATCCTTCTGAAAGGAGTGCCTGAGTCACAAAGGTCGTGAAAAACCTTGCTCTGGAGACTTTAGCCACAGGGGAGGTGGCCATAAGGGTCAGTGAGTTCAAAGGCTATCGGACTGAGAGGCCCTGCAGGAACCGAGGGACAGCTGAGGTTAGGAGGGGTGAATGGCAGGCAGGTCAACATCTGCTGACCAGGACCACATCAGCGCTTGTAAAGGAAAACACTTAACTGGGACTGGCTCACAGTTCAGAGGTTTAGTCCATTATCATCATGGTGGGACATGGCGGTGTGCAGGCGGAGAGCTCTACATCCAGATCTGCAGGCGGCAGGAAGAGAGGGAGACGCTGGGCCTGGCTTGAGCATCTGAGACCTCAAAGCCACACTTCAGTGACACACTTCTTCTAACAAAGCCACACCTCCTAATACTGCCACTCCCAGTGGGCCTACGGAGGCCATTTTCATTCAAACACCACAGTGCTCAAACCCTAGATGCTCTCCTTCCTGAGACAGCTTCGTTTTCCAAGTCCCCTTCTTAGTCTTGAAATCACTCCTTGAGTCAGCAACAAAGAAACATTTTCCCGAAGTTGTAGC